TTCCATTCATCATTGATATAGTGACAAGTAACCCCAAGAAATGATGTGTGAGAATTTTCAGATGTCCAAATATGCAATGTTAATGATATTTTATTTTTTACATCTTGAATATGGTTTTTAACATGTTGTCATTGTTTCATGAATTTTTTGACAATTTGATTTTTAATGTATTTACAACATGGCATTTGGTAAGGTGGATCAAATTTCTTAATCATTTCTATAAAAAAATTATCCTCTACAATAGAAAAAGGTTGCATATTCATAATTATCCAATTGATCATAACTTTAGTTTTCATAAAATTTTCTTTGGGGGGATATGGGTTAATCTGTTGAAAATTTAAAGTTGTTTGAACACATCTTTGATATTCATTTGGATGAATTGTTGCAGTAATTGTTGAAGGATCAAATTTTATTTCATCCATTTTCTTAATCTCTTTTCTAATTGATTTTAATTCATCATAAACCGTAAAACTATAGTGCGATGATAATTCTTTGATGTCATAACATTATAAAATCACACGACTCAATCCAAACACTTGCATGTATATTCATTCGGAGATCAAAATTCATGACCAAAAAATCGCAAAAAAAAAATGCATTGGTTTTGTATCCGAATTCAAGGGTCGGGGCAATGAATTATTTGTATGATTCCTCTACATAATTACCGGAATTAATGAGAGGAGGAATGAATGAAGTGAGTATAACAACAAACTTTGGTTTTTTATAATGTATAATCTTTAAATATAATAAAAAAATATTATACTTATGAACATTTATCAATTATTCAATAGTTATATAGGCAAAGTAAGTGTTAAAGACAAGATGTACGAAGCTTCCAAAGCAAGCCTTGTACAATATACTTGATGAACGTTTTATCAATTATTCAATAGTTGCATGATAGGCGGCGGGCGGTTTGATGGAAGTAAATGTTAAAGACAAGATTTACGACGCTTGCTTTGCAAGCGTCGTAAAATATACTAAAATCATTCTAAAAAATCAAAATTCTCTTTTCCTTTAATAAATAATTAAATGAATAAGTCAAAGAGATGTAAAAATCCCGTATTACCATTACTGTCTTCAATATAATTGGTTCATTATTGACATATTAAAGCATTTATAAACCCGTTTTTTTGTGAATCTCTCTAAACTTATTAACTAGTACTCATGACCATATGAAGGCTTAGAGTATTTTACACCTTCTCAGCCACTATCAAGTCTTTTAAAGCGACATTGAAAAAATTATCTCAGCCTTGAAGCGAAAAAGCATTGCCATTTTTGAATAGTCATGGATTTACATAGAAAAGACCTTTCCATATGAAAAGATATTCATCGGAAAGCTTTAATGGAGAAATTTCGTTTTACTTATTTTTTTAATATAGAAGATCAAGTACAACATGTCACACGACCAGTAAATTTATAATGTTTCCCTTTTTTGATGCAACAAAGCAACAAGGGTATTGATTCAACCATTGCACATTTATGTTTAATAATTTAACCCCCCCTCTCCGGATGATATAATGTACATTATACCAAAATTAAATTGTTATTGATAGTATTGTTATTTGATTTTAATTTTTCCTTCACTTTTATGTCTTCCGTTTTCATCATGTTCTCCAATTTTTGATATATGAATATTCTCAATTCTGCATGTTCCAAAATCGATATTGGGGAATTTATTTAGAATTTGAACAGCTGAAAATGGAATTCGTTCATAATTTTTATACGATCCTTTAATTTTACGATGACTTGTATTAATCAAAGTGGCATGAAGCTAAAAAAAAATAATCAAAAAAATAAATACAACAATGTTTGTATCATTGTTAGCGTTTAAAGTTGTTGGTGATAAATTAAAATTTTAAGCAAGTAAATAATACCTTTAATGGTCTATCAGTTTTTTTTAAATATCCAGCTTCAGAAAATTTTTCATTCAAAAATTCTATAGATCAGTAAATTTTTTAAAGAAAAAAAAATAAATATGTGATAATAAATAGATAGATAGATAAATGTATGTATAAAAGTTATACCAGCTAATTTTGTTAAAATCTTTTTTTCTCCCAATTCTTCAACTTTTGCATATAAAACATTTGTTTTTGCTAGTAGTAAATTTAAATTTTGTTTATTATTAAATATAGATATAAATGTAAATATAAATGTTTGTAGAATTATAGGATTATCTATCTCTCTTACTAGAATCTTCATCCATTATATCCAAACCAGATAATTTTACAACTGGTATTCTTGATCCAACTAAATCATTAACTTCAGTAGACAAACTTTTTAACAATTGCACGGCACCTTTAATATCTTCTTCAATATACAAACTTAACATCCCAAGGGTCAAATGAAATGAAGATGGATTTATAAGTATGGTGGGATCAATCTTGGGTATGGAAAGTGAGAGAACATCTGATTGAAAATTGGATATCTTTTGTTGCAAATTTCGATCAGTATCAAGTGGTAAAGATAAAAAATGTGTTGGAGGTGATCTTGGAACAACCTATTATTATATATAATTATAGGAAACATGAACAGTTAATATTGTTTATTAAGTGGAAATAAGTTTTAACTTTATATATATATAAATGTAATGTCATATCATACTGATCTAATTATTTCATAGATTCTTTTTTTAGATTTCTCAATGTTTTCATTTGAACCTGTAATTGCTGAAATTTTAAACACCAAAAGATATTTTTATTTTTTGTTCCTCCAAAAAAAAAAAAATAAAAGCATAAAAAATATAAATATATATTTACATACATACTACATCTTCACCATTTATAATTTTTATTCTAGTATTTGTATCAGATTCTATTTGTTTCAATGTTGCACCTCCTCTGCCTATTTTATATAATTGCAAAGTTATCAAGGATAACAATAATAATTATAAGGATCATTTATTATTATTATCAAAATTACCAATTATATGTCCATACATTTTTGATGGTATTTTAAGTTTTAATGTTGTTATTTGATCATTTGATACATTTTTTTCATGGATTTGTTGTATATTTGGATCAATGCTTTTAACCAATTTGCTGTCATTGGAAACTAAATTTTCATTACTTTTATTATGATTTTTTGAATAACTACTTTTTGTATCTAAATTTTTAAATAATGAATGAATGAATTGATTAATTAATTAAAAATTTTTTTTGAAAAAATAAAAAGATAAAATAATAAGAAATAATGATAGTAACTCACCAGAATTTTCTTTGTTTATTGTGTCAATAGATACTATAGAAGAACTAGAAACTCTATATGTACGTTTTTCAGCTTGAATAAGTGTAATTCCTTGCATACATCTTGAATTAGAAATATCTGATGAATTTTTCATGATTTTGAATTTTTTATATGGAACGTACAAAATTTCAGGAAATCAATATTTAAAAAATTAGTCGAACACGACGTTGTACTACCAATGTAATGTGATCATGATATAGCCTTAATTTTGATTGAATTTGGACACAAAAGTTAAATTCAATAGGGAAGGGACCAGATAATTCTCCAGTTTCGTGATACTTTTAAATAAAGAAAGAAAGTTATATCTCACCATAGCAAAAAGTAAGCCAAGAATTACGAGGTAAAGGAACTTGGTATTGTGATAATTTTAATCAAAATTTACAAGCCTAAAAGAATAAATCTATTTTTTTATCATTAAATAATTTTTTATTTTGCCTTTCATCAAAACTGGCAGCAAAATCTTGCTTCAATTAGTTGATTATTAATTATTATTTTCACTAATATTAATATCGTTATTGCTACTACTGTCTAATGTCTCACTATAATTATTATTGATAATGATATCATCATCATCATCATCATCAGATAGCGGTAGCAGCAGTAATTGTAATAGTACTGTTTTAATCATTGTCATTACTATTATTGTTGTTATTAACAGTTTATTATTATTAATACTATTTCTATTACTACTACTGAAGTTGTTGTTGTCGTTCAATGAATCAATATTAATATCCTCATTATCTAATAGTTTAGTATTACCATATCTTTTAATTTACTACGAATAGTCAAACAAATGATGGACTTTTTCCCTTCTTATCCATTCTAATTAAATGAAATAAGCTGGCAAATTATATTTTCCGTAATATTATTTTTGCGACGATCATTTCTATCCATTTCAGAGAAAATTTCCGGTATTAAAGAACTTATTATCTGATTGGTTCTCCCATTATACCGAGCGTCATTTCATCATGGAAACGTGAATGGAAATGAATTTTTTTACGCTCGCTGTCTCGAGATAGAAAATTCTATCACATATATATAATTTCTAGATCATACATTTCATATGAAATTCCCTGACAAAATTAAATCAAATAATCTAGTCCAATTTCAGAGACTGTCAATGAAAGTACGGATAGTTGACTAATTATATCATTCATTCATCCATTCATTCATAATAATTCTTATAAATTAACGGAAAAAAAATCAAATAGCTTTAAATTTAAACTTTTCTTACCAAAAAATCAATTTTTATTTACTTTTCTTTTGGTGGTTTTGCTACTTGGTTTTTTTTCTTTCACAAAAATATTTATACTTTAGTATATTTTAGTGTGTGTTAGTTAATAATAATAAATCAAAGCATTCGTTCATCCATAGAAGGAAGAAAAACCAAAAGGCAAAATTCAACCAAAAAAAACAACATTCATTAGTTATCATATTTTAATAATACAAAAAAGAGAAAAAACGGACACGGTCTACCATCATCACCATCACCATCATCTTATCACCATCATTAATTATTCAATATGATTTTAACAAATTTAACAAAATCAAAGATTACAATGAAGGATTCAAAAAAAAGTTTTCTCAAAAAATCAAGTTGGAATTGGTTTTTTACTTCAACTTTTAATGTTATTGTCATAATATTGATTATTATATCAATCGATAACGTTAACGCCTTACCAACAGAAATACCATCATCATCATCATCATCAAACGAAAGTAATAATAATCCTATATTACTTATTTGGGTTCTTGTAATGGTCTCGGTCATAATATTGTTTGAGATAGTTTATTGGAACTATAGATTAATCCTCAGGTTAAGAAGCAGTAATGACGATCACAATGATAACGAGAGCAATAATAATGTAGAAGGTGATTATGGTCATAATAATAGTGACATGGTTATTATAAATAATGGTCATACAATAGTCAACGATGAATTACCTCCGTACGATGGGCTTAGTTTACCAAAATATGTTGAGATAGTTAATGATAGCACTTTAAATAATAATAATAATAATAATAATAGTAGTAGTAGTAATAATAATAATAATAATAATAATAATAATAATAATAATAATAATAATAATAATAATAATAGTAATAGTAATAATAATAATAATAATGATAATAATAATAGTAGTAGTAATAATAATAATAATAATAATAATAATAATAATAATAATAATAATAATAATGAGGTTAATCATTGTAGCATATAAATTATCTATATTATCAGTTAGTTATGTTATTATCGTTGTTATAATAACATTATCATCATTAATTAAATTTAAATTTTATTTCGTTATTTGGAAAGTCATTATTGTTAACGCATTCTTATATATCTCATTTCAAAGAGCATATTTGGCTTAACAACCATTTTTCCAGAATTGTCTATATAATTATTTTGGCGTGTCATTTGGGACAGTGTTCAACAAAACCTCCTCTGTCTCAAATTTATGTAGTATATATTAATCTACAATCGGTGAAAATATTAGACTCTGTTTGCTTAAAAAAAAAAAGGGGGATATCTTCTTTTCGATTTACCTAGCAAATAACGAATATCTGATATTCTGTTTATGAATATGAAGAAAGGATTTCACGCGCGTGAATTTAAGGATTAGGGGCCAGTGTCACGACCAAAAAATATTTTTTAACCATAATAACAAAATTCATGTCACCAGGGCTGGTTGCGTAAAGATGTTAAAGTCCTAATTTGGCAATAATTGTCTTGACTTAACATATGAATGACTAAATAGTTTAGCCAGTTTAGCCAAATGCTCATTTAGGTTACGCGGCTAGTCCTGTCAGTGATAAATAACTAGGGATGGGAACGGTTCAACCCAAACTGGTTCAACCGGCGGTTCGAAACCGAACCGACGCGGTTTGGTTTACACATTTCAAACCGCGGTTACACCCCAGTTCAGTGGTCCTGACCAATAAAAATTAACTACGTTTTTTTAATTTTTTTTTTAGAATGTACCACCAATATATTCCTTATAAAATATTTTTTTTGCAGGAATGTCAATTGACGAAAGAATTGATAATGCTGCACTTTCACCTACTTCAATCATTCAAATTTTTGATAATGATACTAATAATAGTTTATCAATCATCCAAATTCCTGATATCAATAATTCAATTCAAATACATGACATTATGCTTGTACCTTCCATTTCATCATCATCATCATCATCACCATCACCACCATCATCATCATCATCATCAATTGTTCAAATTCCTAATAATTCACAAATAATTAGAACTACTTCAAAAGTAGATGAATATTTTACAAGAAATAATGAAATTCAGAAGTGTCGTGTTTGTGCAGCTACATATAGTGGAATTGGGAAAACTTCAACTGGTACTTTAAAAAATCACATCAAAACCAAACATCCAAATGAATATCAAAGATGTGTTCAAACAACTTTAAATTTTCAACAGATTAACCCATATCCCCCCAAAGAAAA